AGAATATTATCCAATTAAATTTATGATATGAATTAACCAATAAAATAAGAACTAAATATTCATATTATAACAGTATAAAGAAAATATGAGAGATAGAAAGTATTTGGAAGAAGATTTTTGTTAAGAGAGATTTTTATTTTCAATTACAATATGTTGAGTTAAGGTTCAGACAGCACCTCTATTTATATATTTTTTGAAATTACAAAAAGTAAAATAAACTATTATAAAAATATATGAAAGTGAAATAAAGTAAAATAACTAATTATAAAAGTGAAATAACTTATATAAAAGTGAAAAGTGAAATTTTGAAAAAGTGAAAAATAAAAAGTGAAAAATAAAAGTGAAATAATAAAAAGTGAAATAATATATATAAAAGTGAAAAATAAAAAGTAAAAATTGAAAAAGTAAAATAATAAAAATAAAAAGTGAAATAAGAAATGTGAAATAATATATATAAAAGTGAAAAATAAAAAGTGAAAAATTGAAAAAATGAAATAATAAAAGTGAAATAATATTAGAAGATTTTATCATTATATGAATATTTTAGAATTTTTATATTTTTGATTATTTTTGAATTTGCAATTTTTATGTTATTACTATAACAATATTATAAATTAAATAATTAATAATTTATCTTAATATTATTCATATAAGAAAGTATTATTATATTAAATTTTATATTAATTTATTTTAAAATTATTATAATTTAAAAAAGATAAAAATATAGGAAGCTTATAAAAAAATCAAAAAAAGAGAAAAATATAAAATAAAAGAGATTTATATAACAAAAGAAAGCTTTAAAATATTAATTTCTATATTATTATTTTTTTAAAAATAATAAATAGTAAAATAATAAATATTAAAAATATTAAATATAATTCATAATTATTTATAGTTACAATTAAAAATAATATAATAATATCAAATTTTATTAATTAAATATAGTAAAATATAAATATTTTTATATAAAAAGTTTTTAATTTTATTAATAAATATTTTTTATTTTTTATTAAAATAAAGATAATATTACAGATTTTTTAAATTTAATTTAAAGTAGCATATAAAATCAATTATTTTTTATAATTAAAATATATAAAATAATAATTAATTTTATATATAATTAAAATAGCTTTATCAAATTAAATCTGAAAAATCTGAAAAAAATATATATTAAAATATATAATATTATTTTCATTTTAATATAAAAATAAAAAATATTTTTAATAAAATTGAAATCATTTATATAAAGAGAAAGATATGTATTTTATTATATTTAATTAATAAGTTTTAATATTATTAAATTATTTTTGATTGTTACTATATATAAGCTTTATATATAATTAAAAATAAAAAAAATATTTAATAATAAATAGTTTTTATTTTATTATTATTTATCAAGTTTCAATATATTAAAAAGTTCAAATATTATTTTTATTTATATATTACAAATACAAATATTCATACTAATTTTAATTGATAATATAAAAATTGCAAATAAAGTTATAATTAAATTATAAAAAGTTATAAAAAATAAATAAAGTTTAAAATTGTAAAATAAATTATAAATAAAAATATAAAAGTTAAATAAAATTATAAATAAAAATATAAAAATTATATAAATAAAATTATAAAAATATTTTGTAGATTATTTTTATTGATTTCTTGTATTTTTAATTATTTTAAAATATTTTTGTTTTTTAATTATTTTTGAAATTTTTAATTTTTTGTAAATTAAAAAAATTATTATTATTAATATAATATATTAATTTTGTATTAATAAAGTTAAATAATGTAAAAATTTTAATATATTAATAAAGCTATTAAAAATAATTAACAAATATTGCAAGTCTATTATCAACAAATATATAAAAAACAAGAAGTAAAAAGCTTGCTTTTTGATTGTATTGAGTATAATAAGATTAATACTTCAACCAGATCAAATTCAATCTGTAACCTGACTCAAAATATATATTTTAGATCAGATCAGATTGAGATCAAACTTAATTTAAATATTTTAAATTAGCCTAAAAAATATTATTTTTCATTTAATATTAAACAAAAATTTGTGGATATATATACAATTATATTCTGAATAACTTTACTTGAACACAGAATAAAAGTTATTAATGAAAAAATATTTTATGATTTTTGAATTAAATCTAATCTGAATCTGACCTGATTTAAAATTATTAATTTCAAATCTAATCTGATCTAATTTAAATAAAGCTTTAAATAAGACAAATTTTTTGCTATACAACTTAATCTCAACTACTAAATTTAATAAAGTTTATAATTATTATTTCTTATCCAAAAAAGCAATAAATACCAAATCTAATCATAAAATAATAAAATTACTTGAGTTAAACAAAACTATGCTTTCAGATTATATATATAAAATAATAATTTTTAATATAATAGTAAAAATAATTTTATTATTAAATTAAAAAGTTGGCAACTCCTATATAAATTATCAAATTAATATATAATAACATCTAAAATTTTTGGTTGGGACTAAGTTGTACGCACTGTATAAAAATTAACATAAAAGAAACATATTTAGAAATAGTGTTAAGAATATTGGGAAATAATATAGAGATTTTAGAAAATAATCTAAAAGGGATTGGAAAATAATCTAAAATGAATTTGGTGAGGAATAATGTAATGAATTGGACTATAATAATTGTTTACATCACATTTGGTCATCTGTTATTCGTATATCGATAACCTTCCGAATCATTTTCACGTGGATCGAAATCACGTGCCCGTACATTTTTCTTCGCCAATCTAACGTTAATTATTAGACATTGTCATGTATATGTGTAGTTAGTGATCAAAGAATTGAAAGTTAAATATATATATACAGGTAGAAAGGGTTGGTACACTAGTGTTTTTTGAGTGAACCTCTAGAAGGATTCCAAAATTCCTAGTGGCTTTATTGATGTTCATGTTGTTTTCTCCCAAATTCAATAAAACCCACTAGGAAACTACTATGAAATTTGGAATTCCTCTAGAGTTTTACCAAAAACCCCCACTAGTGTACCAACCCTTTCTACCTGTGCTATCTGCTTAATTTTAAAAAATAACCACTGTTACATCAACTGGAAGAGACTGTCGTTTCGCTTTTGACCTCATCGAGTACGTCTTCCGCCTCAACGTTACCAAAATCGTTGTGGCACAATCAAGCATCCGACAACGGATTTGCTCAGGACATCCTTGCCATCAACACAGTCTTTATCTGCTGTATGCGGAAAAAAAGAAAAATATAGTGAGTTTGAAGGGGCGAATATACCCAAATATGAAACAGAAGGATTTCGATAGATGCACTAGGTGAGAAGCAAGGCAGTTTGTAGCAATATTATCTATGTGTCTTGCAAATTTTCTTTTTGTCTTGCTTTTTTCTTCTCTTGTCTTGCCGTTTTTCTCTTTCTTGTCGCGTTTTTTCTTTCCTACCATTTTCAGTCTTCTTTTTATTTGTTTTCTTATGTCCTATTTTTCTTGTCCATTTTTTTTCTTCACTATTTTTGTGTATTTTTCTTTCTTTATCGCTTTCTAGCAAATTTTTTATTTTTACGAAATCTTTTTTAGGACCCGTTTACAATATGTTTATTGAGGCGTCTCGAGATATAGGTTGCTTCGCAAATCTCACTCATTTTCGCAACCTCCATTGTCAACGGATCGACAAGAGTACCTTGTTTTATGAAGGGGGCTCCATATATGTACTTGACGAAGTGATAAAGGAAGCGATCAAAATACGAGATCGTTCAGATGAGAAATCGGCAAATACAAGCAGGAGCGATTATACATCGACTTTCGTTTCGCAGTCATAAGGTGCCTCATCAAACAATTCTAAACCGTCAAAAAACCTCAAGTTCACGTATTTTTCACACTCACGCAGTTGCCTCCGATAATCTTTACAACATCGATAAGGGAGGGCACAGACACATATCCACCTCTTCACCACGAATACCAAATAGAGAAGGAGTTGTCTTAACGTCGGTTCGCTAGATCCCGGCGTCCACGCATTCTTGACCTGGTATTCACCTACATACGAAACTGGTTACATTGGCAACCAAGATGTCCAAAAACTTGTTCGTCTCTATGATCTCATTTTTCCTGTACTATCCAAACGCTCGCAACCATATATATGAAGCCGCATTCGACAATGGACCCGTGGCCTCGTAGATGAATGCCACATGAAAACTGCACTCTGGCTTGTTCGCACTTTTGATGTTGTTATTATCCCTCTTAATGATCCGGAAAAAATATCACAATATTAACAATCGAACTGTGCGCAAGTCATTGACTTGGGCAGGATTAGGGAGAGGTTTGTGTCGAAGGTGTGAGAGTTCGGAAATAAGTGATTGTGTTGTTTGGGTGGATACATCAAGGTGTTTTAATGCGGGGTGTGTAAAGAATGCTAATTGTGTCCGTGTGATTTTTTGCTGGATGGGGCATCCTTTTATGAAATAAAAGTTAGCGATGGTTAATGTATCACGTGGTCGGTCTTTATTGAAGCAATTGTTGTATCTGGTTTTTGAATTTTGTCTTGTGAAGTTCTGAGTGTAGACTGAGACCAACAAGCATTGAATTGAATTTATCAGTTTATGCACAATAAATCAAATAAAGATGCTAATTCGACTCATCTATGTCTAAGGATATTTATTTACACTTTTCTGTATCTGATTTCAAAAAATTGGTAACTTAACAAAAAAATAATTACGAAAGCTTATATAATACGTGGAAGGGTTAATGTAAAGAAAAGAGTAGCATGGCATAAAAATTATCAATATAAGAAAGTAGAATTGAAAAAACAAGAGCATAAAATGTAAAAAATAAAAAAAGCAAACGACATCATCTGTTCTTAAGGCTTTGTAAGAAAGGAAACATAAAGTACAAGACTAAAAAACGAGAGCATAAAAGTAACTTATCGTTATCGAATCAAATGCTAATTCAAAATAAATCCTAAACTCATTCGATCACCAGACTTCTTATATTGATCTGTGAGTCTTTTAACTTCACCCTCTATTCGTCGTTGACGATTGTTCACAAAGTTTTTACACTGTAAAGATGTTCTCCGTGCTTGTGGACTCGATAATTCGTCTGCTATTACTACCCAATCTGTAGTTCCAGGTTGATTTACTCGAGATAGTATGTATTGTCGTTCGTCGTATGTAAACGGTAAATGGTTTACTATCAAGAAAATTTAGAAGGATGAGTAAACACATAATTCATTTGAACAAAATGTTATTTCTTACTTGCTGGATCCGTATGAAAAATCCATCTTTTCAAAGTAAAAAGAATAAGAAAGTGAAAAGAATGCTTCATTTGTAAAATTCCAGATAATTTTACCAAACTTACCGTTCACGACACGTTTTAGAATTTTGTTTTGGAAACCAATGACTGATAATTCGCCATAAATTCGGTTGACCTTGATATAATTTGTATAGTACTTTTAGTTTGTGATCATCCTACAGTAACATTTGAATAACGATAAATTTTAACGTTAGTATTGTGTTGCTATCGAATAAAAAAACATGCACTTAATAACGATAAACACACTTCATTCACCTCGCATGTCCAATTATTTCTCCCGCGGGTCATTTTCGAATTATTTGACTGTTTCAGAGTGTAAATAGTGAAAAAACATTAATAGCTTTCTTTTATTTATATATTGTGCTCATGACAATTTGACAAGCATAAGCACTCTTACTGAAAATAAGTTGTCTTTCAAAACACCAAAGTAATACAAGGATAAATATAGAAATTTCTATTGTCCAAGTGAATCGAGCAATAAATCGTCTATATTTCAAATAGCTACCAAAAATTGCAGACTTTTTTGTTTTTATCATCCAAACAAAGAATTTGATTCCTTATTGAAGATTCCCATCTTGGCTTTGTGTCATTTTTTAAAGAATCCAATTAGTTGAAAAAAACTTGTACATATTTCCGGAATATATATCCGATTTTGAGTATTTCATTAAAAATTTAGATAATAAGTAACTGCTATTGTTAACACGTTTTTCAAATATGAATTACAAATAAAACGTGGAAAGATAATTTTGCACAAAATCGAATTCAACATTACTTTGCATCACGTATTTAGTTTTTGCACTACTGCCGGTTTAATGTCATTTCAAAATGTTATTTTTAGTGTATACGTATCTTGAGTTGGATTTTTTTTCCCAACGTTCTCGCGTCAATTGTGAGATTTCTTAGAATGCTTTAAACGGTAATAATTTTCCTTTATCATGAATAAAAACGGCTGTCCATGTAATTACATATGTACAAGTCTGCATGCTACATGTAATTATTACCGTTATCGGTATGGATCATTCAATTTTTTGCTTACATTCTATTACAAGGATAAAACTGGCTGGAATTTTGTAATTATAGTTAGACCATCTCTTAATTTTATTATATATCGTTAGCAATTCAAAGTACATGTACCACCACAAGATGCTAAGATTTCCATTACCAATACAACCAATTACATGAACATGTAATAAAGTGGTTACGGTTAGCGTTAGACTTTAAATCTTTAAATAGAATTAGGTAAAGATCAATTACATATAAATGGAAAAGAAAAAATTTTATTTTTCTGATTGTTAATTGATGCATGTGTATTTTCTCAAAGAGCAATACAAGTCATGAATTTATTATCGTTGTTAGCTGTTATTGTTGAATTAGAATTGATATTTTTTAGCAGGTTGTAACAAGCCTAAATCTGGTTTAAGACTTTAATAAATTACAAATCGTGATCATTTAAATACGAAACATTATTACATCACTTAAAGTAATAATTGATATTGTAACGACTATTCCCATTTGTCAATAGTTTTATCCGTGGTTAGATTCGAGGCCAAAATATACACAACGATAATTATCAATTAAATTTGAGTCAGTTTTACTAATTATAAAGCAATTTTATTTGTTGATGTATGACGTTGAGGACTTTCTAAAATTCGTAGTATAACTTGACTAGGAAATAAAATTTATTCCTTTTGATAAAATCATTTTTTATAAGTGATCCTCGCTTCCAATCAAACCAAACCATTGTATGCTAACTAGCACTATTAATTCTTCGAGACAACAGCCCTTGATTCCCCACAATTCATATCATTTCCATAAACTCCAAAAATCTATTCAGTTTCGTAACTCGTGTTAATTATTTAATACTATTCAGCCAATTAGCGCTTGTGTATGCGACCGATATATTTCGTTAAATACAATCAGATTGACTCAGCTTTAGCAAATACAGTATTTAAAAAGGAACCCCTTCGAACCTTGATGCATCCTTTTACGTGTTAACGTTAACTGACCGATCTCTTATTTTCAACTTTAAAAATCAATAGCAATATTTAAGTACCATCATAAGTATTTTAGATAATAGCTTTTTGTTCACTTTATAAGTGAATGAACATGCATGTTTGAAATAATGATAAAACAAATTTTAAAAATCCCCAAAGGAACACAACTAATCATTTTCTGAGTTTGATGGAAAGTTGCTATGGGAATGTTTCAGAACAAGGATTGGGTCCTTTTTTGATAAAAGTTAACGGATAAATAATTATTCAAATTTTGAAATATTTAGTGCCTTTAATTTATTCCGAATTTTATAAAAGAATATTTATAAGGTTCTGAACGGTTCTGCTTATATATTATAGATATATAAGATACTTGTATTTTGTTTTAATTGGAGTTATTCAAAATATATATCTACAAATTTTTGTTCAATTTGAATTGATATTGAATAAGAAATAACAATTTTTAGTTTGATTTAAAATATTTTAGATCAGATTTAACACTAATCTAATCTAATTCAAAGTGTGTGATTTAAATTAGATCAAACTTTGATTCAACCTGATTAAAGTACTAGTTCTAATCTTAAAATAAGTATGTTAATATATAGTGACAATCAGAAATAATATAATGCATAATTAAAAATTATTGAATTATAATATCTTTATACAGAATTAAGAATATCAAATCATAATTAATATATATATATTTAATTAAGTATATACAATAGTTTTAAATATAATAAATTCAATATAGATTATTAAATGAATTATGTTACAATTGTAATATTTATTCAAATTTTCATGTTATTTTATATTTGCTCAATTTTAATAAAATTTGTATAACTCTTAAATAAATAAATCATTATCTTTTTTTGTTTTTTGACCATATTTGATACAATTTAATTCATATTATCACCTAGTATAGTTATTATTTGCTTTTATTATATTATAAATTCTTTCTAATATAGAATAAATTAAATTATTATAATAATTCACATTAATTTTCTTTCAAATTAATTATATTTTTTTCCATAAATTCTTTATACTCAAAATTAGTTATGAAAATAATGACTAATTTTATTTTATGAATATTTAATTGGATTTAGATTAAATAATTATAAGTTTTAGATTCCAATAAATATTCTCATAATATGAATATTCAACTAATATTTGTTTCAATTTTTTAATTTACTAATTTTAATCCAGTTGCTTTAGAATTAATATATAATATATCTTCTTTTATTTTATTTTAATAAAATAGAATATTATTATTATTAATAAATATTTTCTTGTATTTATTTAGTATAAAAATAGTTCTATATACCAGTAAAAATGGTATATTTTTTAACTTTCTGGAGTACCCAGAGTGTCAATAAATATAAAATTTAATAATTTTCAATTTTTAAATTATAAACAAATTTTTGGCAAACTCTGGGTATCTTTTTAGAATATTTCAATAATATTCTGAGAAAATAATTTACTTTTCACTCTGAATATTCTTTTTTTTAATTCAATAAGAAAACTTGATATATTGTTACAGCGATTCTGGGTTTCACTGAGAATCACTATAAGCATATGATGTTGGAAGAGGACAATTAAACTTAAGTAAAGAGAATGAATTATAAATATTAGCAAAGGTTTCTAAGACCTGTGCCAATATCTATGG